TTAAGATATTGTTCATTTCTGTTCAATTGCAAATGATCTCGTAAAATCTGAGATAACCAGTTAATTATTAGTCAGCTATGATATCCATTTAATGTCATGCTTTAGAATATTTGCGTGTCAGTATTACTGATATGCTCTAATTATACAGGTGAAAATGAAGTTGGTTAACCTGGGGCATGCTCAAAGGTGGGTTTTGCAAATTATTCTTGAATTTCGTTCTTACGCCCTTCTGATAGGGTAATGAAGTCTCTTAATCAAGATGTGAGTGAAAAATAACCTGCACAATAGAACTTGTCTATTCTGGTAGCTTAAATAGCATAGGTATTGGTTCAACCGTTGCTTCCTATTTCATGATAACTTGTGCTTCAATATGTGAAACTCACGCTTCACTTGAAGTCACTGCCAAATGAGTGTGCAACAGACACATTGCAAGGTAATGCTTAAGTTGACATGGCAGTAATGCGCGAGTTTTAATCTCTTCATCACGAGATTCTTCCTTGGGAATTCAATTTAACCTAGCAACATCGTACTAATTTAGCATTTCATATCCCTAATTGTAAAATCACCCTATTTATCCAGAACCTCAAATTAATATTGGAGATTAGTGAAAATTTTATGTTTCAAATTGCTAAAGGAGACTTTTTCCCCTTAATTGCAGTGAGGAGACAAGGTTGAAAATAGGTGTTGCTGTAAGGATGGGGTGGGAAAGGCGCCGTGGGATGTTGAGGCTCCAGGAAACTTGCCACTATGAGTGGCAAAATTTGATTGCAGAAGCTTCTAGGAGGGGCCTTCTGGGTGAGGAAGAGTTGCAGTGGGACTCTTACGAGATCTTGAGCAAACAGCTTGAGCAGGAGTGGATACAGAGTGTTCAAGAAAGGAAAAATAGGCCCAGACTGAAGGGAAACAAGAGGGCTCCCAAATCTGCTGAACAGAGGAGGAAGATTTCAGAGGCCATTGCAGCTAAATGGGCTGATCCTGTAAGTGTCTTTCTTTGTTGGGGACTGGACTTCTCTTTGGGAATAGCTCCATCCCTCCATCCACATGTTTTTCATTTTCACCCTCCTCCTCCATTCTTATGACTAGGGTCACAGCTACGAGTTTGAAGGCTGCGAATTTGAACTTCCTCACATTTTGATAGCTTTCCAAAAAATAATTTTTTTACCAATCTACCTTTTCTTCCAACTAGGATTACCGTTCTCGGGTCCAATCCGCTCTGTCCAAATATCATGGAATACCCGATGGAGTTGAAAGAAGACCAAGGAGAAAGCCCGCTAGTGATGAGCAGACTAGAAAAAGAAGCCCTCCGAAAAAAAAAGCTAATGAATTGGATAATCCGGTAAAGCCCGAGCCGAAGAGCCAAGTTCAACGTGTTCGATTGAGGAGAAAAAACACACCAATGTACAAGGATCCTTTGGCTAGTTCCAAGTTAGAAATGATAAAGAATATCAGGGCACAGAGAGCAGGTATTGACCAGAAGAAAATTGAAGCCGTCATGAGAGCAAAGTAAGTTGTTATTAAATCTTCGTTATCTCGGCATCTTTCCGTTTGAAGTCTGCTGGTCACTCTGTCATTTTATGAACCTCATAGCAACCTGATATAATTGCTGCCAAAATGGTGAAAGATGAATTCTCTCTGAACGAAGATGTGCCTATCTTAATGCTAAGAAGACTACCCCCAAATTGTTATTGACTGGAATTATTAATTTGCACCTGAAGCATTAGTGCATATATTGACAGGAAACTTAATTAGTACAATCTTCCTTCTATGGAAGTTCGAATTTTGTTTTTCCTATATATATCCAGTGACTTATGGATGTCTTTAGACTTCGTTCGGAACTGAGAGGGGGAGAAATGGAAGTAAGGCAAGGTGGAAAAGGTAATTTTATTCTTTGTTAGAGTAGTTAAAAGTCTCACATTGGTTGGGGAATGGACTAATGATTTGCTTATATGGATTTGGGCCCTTTCCTCATGAGCTAGCTTTTGGGGTTGAGTTAGACCTAAATATCATATCTTTACATTTTCCAATGAAAAAGGAATTTGATACTTCTTCGTCTCTGTTAGGTATAGGAACGTCAGGGAATAATTGGTTTCCTTCTTTCAGTCTTCCTGTTATTCTAGCCAGAGCAAATAAACTATCGTAGGATTTGTAGACTTCCCCTTCCTTTTCTTCTCTCTCTATCTTCCACATCTATATAAAAAATCTTTAAATGATTTATATATAGGTCAAAGGGTTGCGTTAAAAATTTAGAAAGTCCCTCCTCCTTCCAACTCTTCTATCCCCCTTCCATCCCCAAAGAAGGAAGATAGTGCAAGAAAGGTGATTGAAGAAGAAGGTTCTTCGGGCTTCTACCCTTGCTTGTTTCCATAATCTATAATGATGAAAAAACATATTGATGATTTGTCTTTTTAACTTTTTTTCGTAGGAGTTGAAATGTAATAGTGGAGTACACTATAATCTTGAAACAGGGCCTGTTGATACCTCAAACTGAGGAGATGTCTAAATTATGGATTTCAGGACAATATATATTTCTACATGATTATTTTATTAGTATCAATCTGCTAGGTAGTAACTGATAAGTTACTAGGACGTGAAATGTAATAGTGGAGTAAACTATAATATTGAAACAGGGCATGTTGATACCTCAAACTGAGGAGAGGTCTAAATGATGGATTTTTGGACAATATCTATTTCTACACGATTATTTTTTTAGTATCAATCTGCTAGGTAGTAACTGATAAGTTCTTAGGAGGTGAAATGTAATAGTGGAGTAAACTATAATATTGAAACAGGGCATGTTGATACCTCAAACTGAGGAGAGGGCTAAATCATTGATTTTAGGACAATATCTATTTCTGCACGATTGTATTATTACAGTATCAATCTGCTAGGTAGTAACTGATACGTTCTTGGTGTGCTAACAATGTTGCAGAGCATTGATAGCTGAGGCTGAGAAGGCAGCAGAGGCCTTGGAAATGGCTGCCCATAATAGCCCTGTTGCTCAAGCGTCGCTAATTGAAACTAGGAAGCTCATTTCTGAAGCTATCCGCTCCATTGAATCCATAGAGAAAGAAGTGTCTCTTTCAGATGAAGATCTTTCACCACCTTCAACTGAGCTGGGTAGCAACACTGCAGACGAAGGAGATTCGGAATTTGGAGCTCTGGCTGATCCTAGTGAAAGAAGAATAAATGGTTGGCATTCTGCGACGCCTATGGACAGGGATATTTATCATTTAGATGATGGACGACATGCCTTGCGAGGTTTACCAAATGGTAAAAGCACAACTCTCTTGTCAAGCTCCAGTGACTATGACTTACTTGGTGACAGGCAGGAAGTCTATCAAATGATTTCCAGTAGTTTATCTCTGGAAAAGGAGGTCAATGTAACACAGTCCACCAACTCGACTCAGAGATTTGATGAGAAGGATGAAGCTAATGAAAGCCCAGGAGATGAACAGAAACAGCTTCTAAACAGGGATGAAGCTAATGCAAGCCCAGGAGATGAACAGAAACCGCTTCCAAATGGATTGATTTCTGGCTCAAAGACTGAGGCGACGACCACCACAACCAGCACCAAGAAATGGGTCCGTGGGAGGTTGGTTGAAGTAAGTGAAGGATGTTAGATTAGCTGAAAGATTATTTGAAGTATCCGATTTACACACTTGGAATGCATCTCATGGATGCACTATAGAGTACACTTTTTGACAAAAGGGAGTTTTGTCTGCAAATCCAATGATAGTTTGAGCTTTGATAGTTGCAAATAGGCGTTTCAGTCTCTAGTTTCATGCTAGATACATATTTTGTTGTAATATCTGTTTCATGACCATTTATGTAAAGTTTCAGGATCCCATTGGGCTTCACTTAGTTCATTCCAATTATTGTGACATTTGTTTCGTTTCTATCAATGTTTTATCATTGTGCGAGGATGATGTTAAAGCAAATGTCTTAGATTACATGACCAACAAGCAGATAGAGATTATTACATATGAGTAGAGTATAACAAGTGCAGTTTAGCTGGAGAAGCGTATAACGTTCCAGTTCTTCAGTTGGGAGTCGATAGCATTCTCCATTTCTCGCCTCTTCTTTTCCTTCACCTCCCTAGCTTGATTGATCTCCACTTCAACTTGTTCTTTCTGCAAAATCAGTACATGCTAATAGCAAAAGAGATGAGAAGAGAAAGGGAATGAAGGACGTATCAATCACTTACATCGACAACGTCAGGAATGGGAAGCTTGGTGCCGTGGACGGCGGAGCGATTAGCTGCTTTGCCAACAGACCGCAGTGCAGAGTGACGGAAAACGACCTTAGCGGTGGTTTGTGCTACTTTCAACACTCCCTCCATTTTCTAAATTACACCGATCACAAATCAATTCTTTTTGCTAAATATTTGCATCATCTCTACATTATATATTAGTAACAACGAGGTCATGGATATGGCAAAGCCACGTGGCTTCATGTCTCGCTGTATCGTCAACTCCAGATGTCTCTAGTGCATACTGGAAACTATTTTGTGTTCCATTTATTATAAATATCTTAATAATTTCCAAGTCAAAAGTAGGGTCTGAAATTTATTAATTTAGACAAAGTTCAAAATATATTTAATTTTGAAGTCGAAACGATCAAACTTAGAGAATTGACAAAAAGAAATAGAAGTGCGAGTAAGAATTAAATAAAATTATTAAATGATCATCTGAATTGACTTATTTTAAATACTTTTTAAGCTTTGAATTGTTTAGAATAAAATTAAAAAATATTTTAAAGCTAAATAACAAAAATAAGTCATAGAAGTGAATGTAAATAGGTTCTAATTCAGTCTTAATTAAACGCGGCAACCAAGTGAAATTCCCAAGGATCATTGGCGACCCTTGAAATAGGCCAAGGCCCAACACTGGAACCCGTTTCCAATGATGCAGCTATAGCTACTAGCCCAATACCTTGAGGGGTCCAGAGCCATACAGACCGATGGCGGGTCATTTTCTCCCACCGACGATGTGCTACTCTCATGATAGTAATTCCTTGGGCCACACTTAGAAATATTTTTACAAATCACAGGTAGCAGCAGTTGTTAACTTGACTGGACCACTCACCAAACACATCTCATCACTTTAGTTAATAATTATATAGAGCACAGAGTCGTCCTGTTTACTACAACAGCTTAGAGTCCAACAAATATCACTACCATTTGAATGCCGTAAGAACATGATGAGGGACAGAGAATCATCTGATGAAGAAGATGATCGAGAGAACCTGATCCATCAAAATGAAAGAGTAAATCACCTCTCTAAATCTCCACGCCCATCCACATTCCAAATCGAAGACGTCAAGGACCGATTTGCCCTTTGTCGGCGCTTCAATTTCACCTCCGGTAAGACGTATTTACTGGCAATTATTCTTCCACTTCTGGTACTCATTCTTTATTTCGCCACCGATATCAAGGCCCTATTTCAGACCACTGTTACCACCATAAAGTATGATGGTTCTGTCAATTCCATGCGCGAGTCCGAATTGCGGGCTCTTTATTTGCTTAAACAGCAGCAATTGGGACTTTTCAAGCTGTGGAATCACACACTAGTTAATGATACTTCTACTACACATAGCTTGGAGTCCGCTCCTGGGTTTACTTTGGTTTCGAGGTCCTCAATTGTCGAAGATCTCAAAGACGATTTGCTCAGACAGATTTCACTAAATAAACAAATTCAGCAAGTTCTTTTATCCTCTCATCAATTAGGTAACTCTTTAATTACATCAGATAATTCCACAGACCCTAGTCTTGGTGGTTTAGGTAGGTGTCGGAAGGTGGATCACAACTTGTCCGAGAGGAGAACTGTGGAATGGAAACCAAGATCCAACAAGTACTTGTTTGCAATTTGTGTCTCCGGCCAGATGTCAAACCATTTGATCTGTTTGGAAAAGCATATGTTCTTCGCAGCTCTGCTCAACCGCGTTTTGGTTATTCCGAGCTCAAAAGTTGATTATGAGTTTCGTAGAGTCTTAGATGTTGATCATATAAATAAGTGCTTGGGGAGAGAAGTAATTGTGACCTATGATGAGTTTGCAGAAAGACGAAAGAGCCATTTGCACATAGATAAATTCCTTTGTTATTTCTCTCAGCCACAACCTTGTTTTTTGGATGAAGAACGTGTTAAGAAATTGAAGTCATTAGGGATATCTATGAATAAGCTCGAAGCTGCTTGGGATGAAGATGTTAAGAATCCAAAGAAAAGGACTGCCCAAGACATAGTGGCAAAGTTTTCAATGGATGATGATGTTCTTGCAATAGGTGATGTGTTCTTTGCTGATGTGGAGAAGGACTGGGTAATGCAGCCTGGAGGCCCCATTTCCCACAAATGCAAGACACTTATTGAGCCAAGTCGTCTTATTATGCTTACTGCTCAACGTTTCGTCCAAACGTTTTTAGGAGACAACTTTATCGCTCTTCATTTCCGCAGACACGGTTTTCTGAAATTCTGGTATGTTTTCTTTCGATGCCGGATCTAGTGTTTAATAGCTATTTGCTTTTGCATCTATCACTAGAAGGGGGAACAAGGCTGATCAATAAATTGCTTAGTAACTTTCATTTCCAAGCTCAATAATGCCTCCAATTATGTGTTACTGCCATAATGACAAAAGCTTCTTGTCTTAGTTCTTCCTCATCTTTTTATCATACTTTACCACCTCTAACTCATTTATTGTTCTTCTCAGCAATGCTAAAAAGCCAAGTTGCTTCTACCCTGTTCCTCAAGCTGCAGACTGTATCAATCGTGTGCTTGAGAGGGCCAATTCTCCAGTAATGTATCTTTCCACAGATGCTGCAGAAAGTGAAACTGGTCTTCTTCAGTCACTTGTTGTATTCAATGGGAAGACAGTACCCCTTGTTCAAAGGCCTGCTCGAAATTCAGCCGAAAAATGGGATGCTTTATTGTACAGACATGGCCTTGAGGGTGACCCTCAGGTGAGTCAGAGATTGAACGTTAAATATGCACTTTGTCCATATTCATAAGCAGAAAATTAAGAGCAGCTACTCTATGTGGCACTGGACTATTCAGTTGGTAACTTTGACACTGGAACTTCTATGTTCTATCCTTTAGGGGCTTGCTAATCTTAATCTATCAAATGAGCACATTTCGAATTCGTTGAGTTTAACCTCTAGCAACTTAAATTTTAATTCTATCTATGGGAAGGTAACATAGATCTGATCCAATTTTATCTTGGATAATATAGATCATCACCCCATTATACTTGCATTGTATTCAAGTCTAAACAAGGTGTCTAGAGGTTTCATAATTATTGTGGGTTGGTAGGGTTGAGAAGGTAAGGGAGGAAGGACATGCAAAGTGGAGAAGGTGTGAGCCATTTTACAAGTGATAATGTAGGTTCTTGAATGTAGTTTGATGTCCTTTAGTTCTTCATGGGCTTAAGTCAACAGCAACAACATACCCAGTGAAATCCAAATCCCACTAGTGAAGTCCGGGGAGGGTAGAACGTATGCGGACTTTACCACTACCTTTCTGCGGCAGAGAGATTGATTCCGAAAAAAAAGTCAAAACTGTATTTAGTATTTACTTATTAAACAAAAGGTTAATCGGTACCTATTAGCTGGCATGAAATTTGTAAATATTTCTCTTTGGCAAAAGAGAGTTTTTTCCTTATTTTTAAAGATGCGTAGGATTTTGGGATGTCAAAATAGGATTCTAGGATGCTTACCAGTTTCATGAAGTACTAGATGTACAAGAAAGTTGTATTGAACTGGCTGTGCATTTTTGCTCTTGCCTGAATTTTATTTTTACTGGACCTAATGTGTATAGAAAGCCTAAGAGTCTGTTTGGATTGGCTTAAAAATTGGCCAAACCTACTTTTAAGTCATTTTTAGCTTTTGGAAATGTTTGGCAAAGTTAAAATTACTTAAAATAACTTTAAATAGTTAAAAACCTTAAGTAGGACTCTCTCTACTTCTTATTTTTTTGTCTTAAAAGCTACTTTTTTTCTGCCTATCCAAAAGGGCTCTTAATGGTACCTACATTTCCGGGTAATAGGTACAAAATTAATCTGTTCAAGTCTGTGAATCCTACTGGATTTCTCATATTTTAGACACAATGGATTAATGCGTACATCCAAACATCACATGTTTCTTCTCTTAGATTGTACAGTTTCTACCATCAGCTGTATGTAGGATCTTAGAGAACTTATTGGTAGAAGAACAAGGTTCATGTAACTTATAAATAGTATGGTTTTTCTATAGCTCATGTTATTATTCCTTATAGGAGGACAGGCAACGCAGAAGCTGAACCCAGTAAAATGAAGTCTGCTTTTCTTTATTTTTCTTGCATTTTGTTTGTTGGTCTTGCATGCTCTTATTTGTCTGCTCATTTCCTTCATGAAGGTGGAAGCTATGCTGGACAAGACAATTTGTGCTATGTCTAGTGTGTTTATTGGATCATCAGGGTCTACTTTTACTGATGATATTTTGCGGCTACGAAAAGACTGGGGATCTGCTTCGCTTTGTGATGAGTATTTATGTCAGGGTGAACTGCCAAACTTTGTCGCTGATGACGAGTGAAGCAGATAATGGTTGAGCATACTTCGTCTAGTACTCCTCAAGCTCATTCTGCTACTGGACAAGTTACTCTGCCCAAAGCAATTGCTCTACTTGCAAAGCAAATGAAAAATTGTGTTGGAGTAAAGAGTGATATCGGTTGTTATATTGTCTGTTCGATACTTGTAATCTCGGTTCTTTAGCATAGATGGCCTATTTGGCTAATTCTTTTGGTCTGTATTCTAGTGTATAATATTGGTTAGCGGAGTAACAATGTTTTGTTCTGTGTAGCTGTTTTATCTCTTGCGACCAGTTTTAGAGTTTGTAGGTTTGCATATTGACACATACACATCTCAATATTCAGGATGAAAAAAGACAACTTCACTTTCTTGTGGTAGAAAATGGAGTTGTTTCATTTCTCTCTCTTTAGTTCTTTGTTTGTGTTTTATGTATACCGAGGGAAAATCAGAAAAGCTGAGGCAAATATAAGTGGATCAGAATCAACATGCTTTCAGAGATGGAAAAAAGAAATCGACATGTTTCATATTCCGCTTACACTTGGTTTTCTTTACTCTTGTAATTTCCTTTCCGCTCGTTGAGAAAAGATGAAAATGTATACAAATAATACAAAAGTTTCTGTTCAATTTTGCTATTAATGTTCATTGACATTTCTCATTTGTTTCACTGCTGAATTGACTGTTTTGCTCAATCAATTCATTTTACTAACCAGCAAGAATGTTTTTCTATTATGACATAATAATTTTTCAGCTCTGCTAATTCAAAAGAACTGATAAGATATACATACACCTATCGCATACTCTATAATACTCAAAACCATACTATTTAATGCTCTTGTACGTTCAGATATTAGCAACTGCATTGTTCTTACATGTAAGTTCTGATAATATCCATTTTTCTTTTAAGGTATTTGTTATTTTAATCCTTAATTAATTGTTATTAGTTGATACCTTTAATTACCGGAGTGGGCTTAAAATTTGTGAGCCCGTTAGGATTTAACCCGAGAAATCGGGCCTAGTTAGGCCGTCGGATCACGTGGATAGAAAGCCCTATATATAATGAGTAGTCTCCTCTAGTTCTCTGGTATTTGTTCCCATTCTCTTCTTGTTTCTCAAGAAAACTAAAAGATTCCAATCTGAAGGCAATGGCACCGGCAGCAGATGTGGAGGATGAGATTAAGGACGAGAAGAACCCTAGGCCTCTTGATGAAGATGATATTGCTCTACTCAAGACTTATGTACTCTTCTTCCTCGCCTAATCTTTTTTATCGTATGCCTTCTTTCTAATTTTAGTTAGACCCACTGTTGCAACCATATCGTGATGATGCAAAAATGCAGAATTGCGAAGAACTCACAGGTTATACTTAAACAATGAGAAATTTAGAAATCACAAAGCTATGTAATAAGTAATGAGCTGAGAAAACTAAAGGAGTTTATTAATGTTAGATGGTATTTGTACTTTTCATACTGATAACTAGTATGAAACGATCCCTACGGCCTAAATGAACTTGAGACTACTTCTATTGTACCTAACAAATTTACATGTGCTACATTTGAGCTGCACTTGAGATATGTATGGTTTTCTTTTCCTTTAGTTTAATTAATATGTACTGTTAAAAACCTCCTCCGTCTTATTTTTGTGTATGAATACCCACCCTGTCATCAAGGGATCACCTCTGGAAATCGGTCAAGTACTGATGATGGAATTTTTGATTTCCTAAGTTACGCGGATGGCCGGACCATATAGAAAAGAAATGAGCAACATCCAGGGTCCAAAATTTTTCTCATCAGCTTGAAAGCAACCATACAACAATATGACCTTCCATTTACTTCCAGATGTGCCGACCCTCCTTGAAATTGGCTTTGGCAGATAATCCATGAGATTTTTCTTGAAATATAAGTAAGTGAAGTGACTAAGTTTTCCAGCTCAATTAAGAGAAGGAGCAAAGAGTAAATTATTACCAGCATTATTAGATGAAGAACCTGCTTTTGATCTGCCCTGTCGAATGCTTTCTCATTCTTGTGTTTTGGAAGATGGCTACCCTGCTACTACGTCAGACTGTACAATCCCCTTCTGCTTTGAGCAATTAGCACCCTTTTAATATTCACTCCGATAAAACAGAAATTAGGCTTACTCTTACAAGTTCTTAAGCCATACCCATCTTACCTGAAGTAAACCTTCTTACAGTTTGGAGATTTATTTACTAAAATATGGTGTGATCACGTAATAGGGGTGTATAGTTCTTGGTGATAAAATATCATTTATTTGGATAGACATTGCATGAGTGTTATTTATGTAAAGAGTGTTTGATCACATTTCTATATGTACTTGTGGTGTGCAAGTCCGATCACAGACACATCCTACATTATATGTATTAAGAGTATGCTATTCTTTTCCTTGTGAAATTTCTTTTCCTTGTGAAATTTACAGTTTGGTTCCTTTTCTCTAGAAATACCTTCTTTCATTTTGAAAGTATATGCGACTTAGTATCTGATCATTGTTTTAAGTAAATCACTGAAATGCTCTTTGCAGGGTTTGGGGCCTTATTCCACAAGCATAAAGAAATGTGAGAAGGAAATCAAGGAAATGGCAAAAAAAATAAATGATTTGTGTGGTAAGTATTTGTAAGTCTTTGCCTTTTGTCTTTGATGTTGAACTAATTAATTGTATCTCTAAATGAAAACTACTGTTCTTTGCCGCACATTGTGGTCTTTGTTTTTTCTGGTGAGACAGAAAGGAGGAACAGAGTTTTTCTTGTCCCTTGATCCTGGGAATTGATTTGCTTCTGTTAAAATGTGTAGATGTGTTTTCCTACTTTTTTCTTTATATATTTCCCTATATATGCATGGTGAATTTCAACTTACTGTCTTACTGATCATGCAGGTATTAAGGAATCTGACACTGGGTTGGCTGTACCAAGTCAGTGGGATCTAGTTTCAGATAAACAGATGATGCAGGAGGAGCAACCTCTTCAGGTGTGGCTTCTTTTGGAAATGAAAGTTGATTAAGTCTTTGCTTGTCAGATACTTTGAAGCTGTACCTAAATCTTTGGAGCAGGTGGCTAGGTGTACAAAGATAATTAGCCCCAATACTGAAGATGCAAAATATGTTATAAATGTCAAGCAAATTGCTAAGGTATGTTATCCTTTCTTTTGCATATCGCGTTTGCAGTATTAATTTCATTTCTGACAGTATTTCAAGTTGTGTGAGTGTCTTTTGTCTTGTAAGTCTCTGCAAACTCATCCAGAATTAGGTCTGTGCTTAAGCAGTAATAAGAAGCATATTGTGGTTAACAGCAACACATAAAAAATTTGACCTTTTCTTCGGAGAACTTACACTGATTAACTAACAGGATATCTTCCCATGTTTTTGTCTTTAGCCTGAGAATTTGTACTCTTTAGACTGCTTTAGTTTTTTTTGGGTGAATGATGTATTTCCATGCGACAATTGTTGCAGTATCGTTGGTTGGATTTATTTTGCAAATTGCAATGGATTATGATCACCTTTTTTGACTTTATGCTTTTTTCGTACCTGCAGTTTGTTGTTGGATTAGGTGATAAAGTTTCACCGACTGATATAGAAGAAGGCATGAGAGTTGGGTAAATTCTTCTTCTTATTGTTCTGTCTCAGGATCTTGTAGCATGGTTTGATGTTTTGCTGTGGTCTGTTCCCCCAAAAAGTGCTGATTTGGTTTAGCGAGTTGTTCATAACTTTTTGCTGGAGATGGTGAAAGAAAGCAACACTTATCTCTGTTGGCTTAGCAAGCATTTTATCTTTTTAATTGGTGGATCCACAATTCCACATTCTCTATCAGAAGCACACTGTTGCTTATTGCTGATTATGAAACTTGATTGGTGCATATCTTGCAAAATTATTGGTTTGTGGAATGGACCCAAACAACTTACCTTCTTTTCCTGCTAAAGATGGCCAGTATAGTCTATAGATATTATTTAGCTTTTAGGTGGAACATCTGTAAGATTATTAAAGTCTTCTGTTCCTTTAAAATTTTGTTGACTCTTAGCTTGACTATTTTTGTTGATGTTGCAGCGTTGATAGGAATAAATATCAAATTCAGATTCCGTTGCCCCCCAAAATTGATCCAAGTGTCACAATGATGACTGTCGAGGAAAAACCTGATGTTACATATAATGATGTTGGAGGATGCAAGGAACAAATCGAGAAGATGCGAGAGGTGATTATGAGTGTTCATTCTTCTGTTGTGTTTCATATTTTCCCTTTTCCACTTTGGTTGACGTTTGACAAATTGGTTTGTGCTCCTTCTCTTGCTTAATTAACAAAAGGTTGTTGAACTTCCCATGCTTCACCCTGAAAAATTTGTCAAACTTGGAATTGACCCCCCTAAGGGTGTTCTCTGCTATGGTCCTCCTGGTACTGGGAAAACATTGCTTGCCAGAGCTGTTGCAAATCGTACGGATGCATGCTTCATTCGTGTTATTGGTAGTGAGCTTGTTCAGAAATATGTTGGTGAGGGCGCTAGAATGGTTCGCGAACTGTTCCAGGTTAGAAGCACTCTTTTTTATATTTATTTTCTTTGGATCACCTAGGTATCCCCCAACTCCAATTGGTCTATTGGTAGAAAACTCAGGAGAGTATTGACCTGCACCTCTACCATGTTCCCACTTAAATACCACACCTCGTGTCAGTTACAGGTTCGAATTCGTGAGATGCAACTACCTAACGTCCTTACTTTTGAACCAAAGCACCACTGTGAGATAATACACTCTTATTGTTGAACTCGTTTATGCAAGATTCAACTTTAGCATTGATTCTTGACTGGAACTTTGCTAACAGATGGCACGCTCCAAGAAGGCCTGCATTGTGTTTTTCGACGAAGTAGATGCCATTGGAGGTGCACGATTTGATGATGGAGTTGGGGGAGACAATGAGGTTCAAAGAACCATGCTTGAAATTGTGAACCAGCTTGATGGTTTTGATGCTCGAGGGAATATTAAAGTTCTCATGGCAACCAATAGGTTAGATTGCCTATATGTTGCAAAATAATGTGTGTGTATGTTGCAATTGTTTTTTCTTCCATTAGTGTACACATTTACTTATGTTATTTCATGTTTTTGTAATTAAATTTGGAGCTATTGGTCAATAAGTGTTGGACAAAGACGTGAATGGCTCTCCTGAGCATGTTTCAAGTTGACTTCATATATATATGCTACTGAAAAAAGTCACCTAGAGCTGAACCACATGAAGTCCCTTGTGGGCCTGATTTTTTTTTAATTGATACTCTTGAAGGTTCTTCCTCTTTTTGTGCTCTCTTGGTGATCTGAACTTTTCAAAAAAAAAAATTTATATAATAGTCTATGGTCAGGAATGACATGTGGTGTCTTCAAACAAATACTCATGCTTGGTAGCGTAAAATGCTGCTCACAGCTTGTTAT